AAAATTTACAATATTTAAAACTACATTTGACAGTTTTAGTGAGGCATTAGGTTATTTATTTGGTAAGTTAATGGCTGGTTATCCAAACGCCGTTATGGAGTGAACTGTTTGAAACATTTAAAATAAGCAGCATTTTAAAAGGGAACATATTTTGAAAACACAACTCAAACGCGTTGGTTGTCGTATCAGAGAAAACACAAAAGACTTTGCGGTGCTAAACGAAGAGGTGAAAAACGAAGAAAAATACCGAGGCAAATAACTACATACATAAGTACTTGAAACGCAATAAATGAATGCAAACAAAATTAAATATTTTCCATTTGTGTCAAAATTGAAGTGCTTCGTTTAGATTGATGCTAAAAAACAAAAACAAAAATAAAAACTAGTTTGAATCGATATTTTACCAATTTAAATCGCATTTTTCTTATTTACAGAGTAAATTACTCTAAAAACGAAAACAATGAAGTCCTTTATTTCGGTCGCTCTCTTTGCGGGCATAATTGCCCTAACCAAGGCTGAAGATTATGCTTGCCACAATAATGTTACTTTCGGCTGCAGCAACAGTATATCAAGTGAGTACCTACATACTGCCATATGTATATGTATATGTATGTTCATGTGTACATAAATAAAAAAACAACTCAAAATGTGATAAGAGCGCAGCGTCTTCCAAAACATCTGTATTAACTTCCTGTTTGTGTGTATTTTCTCTCCTCTCTCTCTCTCTCCACAAACTAGATCCTGTTATTTGCCATTCCCGCTATGGTGGAATTGAGAATGTCGAGTCCGGCATTCAATCCTACATCAACTTGAATATGCACAAGTCTTATCAATACCTTTTGATGTCCACCTTCTACAACTCCTACCAAAAGAATCGTCCTGGCTTCACCAAGCTCTACAAAGAAATGTCGGACCGCTCATTCGACGATGCTATCGAGCTGATTAGGCATGTCACCCGCCGTGGCGGTCAAGTTGACTTCCGTGCTATGAGCCAACACCCCAACTCGGTTGCTAACAGCAAATTGAAATTGGATGAAGATGAATTGCACTCACTGGGCACCGCTTTGGATGTTGAGAAGATCTTGGCAGATGGTGCCACCCGTTTGCACTTCGAAGCCACCCATGGACGCCCACATGACCCACAAACCGCACATTTCGTGGAGGAGAAATTCTTGGGCAGACAGGCTGAGTCCATCCGCAAGGTTTCCGGCTATGTCAACGATTTGTCGAAGATCATGAACAATCCCGACCCCTCATTGGGTGTCTACCTCTTCGATCAGTACTTGGAAAAGCAGAAAGCGCCAGCATCGCAGAGTAAAGCACGGATCGATTGGGATGTTTTGAGCTGCTGTTGATTTAAAGTTCGTTCGGGAGACTATAGGTATTTCTTCAACTTTAAAAAAAAATGCAAGTTCCAATTGAGCGCATTTAACCGAGTGCTATAACATATTTGTATTTTTCATTCTTATTATTTACCTGTTGTTATTTTTTTTTTTGTAAATTACTATAAATTAAACGGAACTTAAAAATATATAAAACCTGTTATCCTGTTTATTTGGTATTGAATTGTGGTACTTGATACTCGAAGCCCTTCAAAAAAAAAAAATTTATAAATATGGCGACGGCGAGTACCGCAGACGATGGAACGATGAGCTGTATGAGCTTTACAACTACATGAACATAGTACAGCGAATTAAAATACAGCGGCTCCTCTGGCTTGATCATGTCGTTCGAATGGACACCGACGCTCAAGCTCAGAAAGGCATAGTTGGCATAGAAGAGAACCGACTTCTGTGTTTTGAGATAAAATAAACCAGACAAATATTTGCGCAAATACCAATTAGTGCATATAAGAATCGAATATGCATTCGAAAAAATCTTATTTGTACCAATTTGTAATTGCTCAAATATTTGTGTGGTGTATTTTGCGCATATGTTGAACTCGGCCAAAATCGCTGGCATGTCAGATTAAAACTTTGACAGTTGACAGCTGTCAAATAGACTGTACATTTTTTCTAAAATAAGAATTTTTTTTTCAAGTGTCACTGATAAGGGTTTTCATCACGCTGTCACAAATTTCACGTCAAATTAAACTTTGAGAGTTAACGGCTGTCAAATGGACTGTTCTAAATTTTTATAAAAATGAGAAAATATTTTTAAAATGCGCTCGCATGGCCCTTAGCCATTCTGCGACACATCTAAAGAGTACACTGCAGAATAAGACAGTCCAAGAGATTCATAACTCCTACCAGGAGGAACTCCGGAAGACTCCCTTTCTGTAAAGACGGACTCTAGGTTTTGTGGGCTGGTGGAGGCAACCCCAGACTTTATTCTATGTATCTGCCCACGAAATACGAATCGTAGACTGATACAACTCCGAGAACGATCGTCTTCTCCATCTAAATTATAATCAGGGTTTAGTACAATAGAGGTTCCTAGGTCGCCAAAGCCTGTACAGTAAAATTGTATGGTACTAGCTGGGTTTTAGTTTTACTAAATGTTAAGTTATCTACGTCAGTGCTCGCCAAAGTGGTGGTCCGCGGACCGGTGCCGGTCCGTAAGCCATAAGTCGCCGGTCCGCAAAGGGCGTCGCGAAATGGACAACGATTTTTTGATGTTTTATATTACTGTTTAATGAGGCTATATACAACTTGTATAATAAAAACAACTTAAATTTGTTAAACATTCATAAAAAATCGCTAATATCTGCTATCATTAAATGGTAATAGGTCATATATAGACACCCGGCTAATAAAGAAATTCATTTAAACAAATTTTAATACATATGTGAGATGATCGTAAACGAAAAATAATCAATAAAAAAAGGTACCGGTCCCCGACGTAATAGAAAAACTGCAGCCGGTCCGTCACACTCAAAAGTTTGACGAGCACTGATCTACGTTATCTACAGAGGCCCCATCTAAAGCCAGAGCTGCGACTTCGCACGCATAAGGAATTGAATGCCCGGAATTCCTTTGAAGGCTCTCAAACCATCCTGGTCGGAAGAAAATTAGAATTGCGCATGTTCTAGTTTTCACACAGCATTCGCTTAATTAGCTGACGTTTGTGAAAAGTATTAGGTGCGCTAGATGGCTTTTTCGTATACCTCTATTAGAACACAATCCCATCGTAATATTTACACGCCTTGAAATTTAATGGAGAGTTTCATGTGCATGCAAGTATGTACATATGTATGTACTACTATACTATATATATATTTTATACGACTGTGCCTATTCAAGTGGGTAAAAAAATTAGCAAAAACGCACAACTCGAGATATTAGACTTGATACTTTTCCTCAAAATGAGACCAAAGGAAAGTTTTTCCGACGCCTGAAAGTAAAGATACATATCGTCGTTTAAAGTACAAAACCGC